GGGGTTTAAAAAGGAGTTGCGCTAATATTGAGCAACATAAAAATTAACCATTTTATTCTATAGGGTCTTGGCATTCAGAAAATATATAAGATTTGGGGGTTTTAAGTAATTTTCAGGCCTAAAATGTGGAATATAACATGGGTGCAAAAAATGAAAAAAAAAAAAAAGGCCTCAGTCATGAAGGGGTTCAAGTAATAAAACAAAGCACATTTCTTAAAAAGTATTATTAAAATGCAAGTATAGTTATTCTGTTAGGAAGCATAGAGCAATGTAAACCATATAGTACCTAGATTTACCTTTCAATTTAGACATGTCAGGGCACTGAAAGGTTTGCAAAAATCTGTTTTGTGGTTCCAGATCTGTACTCTAAGTGGTATTGCAAAGTACAATACAGTAAGGGGGCTGCTTAACCCTTTTGCTGCCACTGATGTATGGCATATGGCAGAACACAACCACTTGCAGCTGGCCATGTCAGTATACCGCTTTAGCGACCATGAATATACACCGGAACGGTTCCCCCTGTAAATTAATAGCTGTCATTAGCACCCCCCGCCCCGCCGCAATCTGCAGCTTCTCCTCCCTGCCTGGAGCAACTCCAGGGTGGGATCTATTTCTTCTTGGATACCCACTGCCCTCCCCCCACCTGCATGGGCTGCGGCAGCGTGTATCCAAGAATAAAAGGCTGGCAGGGGGGTGGAGAAGGAAACCGCTGATCAGGATGGCCGAGCGGTGGAGAGAGCAGAGCCGACGGCTGTCAAATCCAGGATCGCCGGAGGCTCTGTGATCTGTGCGTGGCCGAGTGGAGGATAAGTAAATATCTGTGATATTTACCTATCCTCTGTGTGCAGAACAAACACTGGAGTGAACCCTGATTACTCGTGTTTGTAAACAACTGGGGACACACAGTACCAATTATGAATGAGCAAAAAGTGCTTCACATCACTTCCTGTTCATTCATGAGTTTCTGAATGGGTAGAAGCACTCACTATAGAGGCTTCTATACATGGTCAGTAGTAAATATTTACTATCCCCAGTTTTGAAATGAATGGGAAGCCTCTGTACTGATGCTTTCCATTCATTGTGTTGTGGCTGCAGAACATTTCTCAATTTCTTTTTCTATTTCAAAAGGGAAATGGCAGGGGTCTGTTTAGACCACTTATATTTCCCCGAAGCCATAAAAAATGAATAAAAATATACAAAAATTAAAAAGTTTATAGGGGTCTTTAAAAAGAACTCTAAAATCTGCAGTATAAAAAAAAGGTTAAAAAAAATGCAAAAATGGCAAGGCCAGCTGAGGTTAAAAGCGTTCGAGGGCTTGGCAGCTAAAGGGTTAAAGCGGACCTTGCACTAAAAAGCACGGTCATCGTATTACATAAAACCCCCTCCGTTTACAAATCACCACCTGATACCTGTGGAACATCTGTGGAAAACAAAAGTTAGATAATATCCAGTGGATATAAAAAGTCTACACACCCCTGTAAAAATGCCAAGTTTTTAGGATGTAAAAAAAAAAAAATAATCAGACCAAAATAAAATCACTAGAGAAAGAATGTTTTCCACCTTTAATGTGACCTATAATCTGTGCAATTCAATTACAAACTGAAATCTTTAAAGTTGGAAAAAGAAAAAAAAAAACAAAACGTGGTTGCACAAATACTTTGTTGGAATACCTTTTGATTTTATGAAAACATGTCAGTCTTTTGGGGTAGGAGTCTTCAAATCTGTCAAATTGCGAGGGCATCTCCTGTGCACAGCCCTTTTCAGGTCACCCCACAGATTTTCAATTGAATTTAGGTCCGGGCTCTGGCTGGGTTCTACCAAAACTTTGATTTGAAGCCATTCTTTTGTTGATTTGGAGGTATGCAGGCAGGGCCGGATTTACTCTCCCTGCCGCCCCAAGGCCAGGTCCTGTTATGCGCCCCCCCCGGGAACCCCCCCTTTTGTGGGGAATCCGGGCCTGTATGCAGGCAGCACAGTGGCGTAGTGGTTAGCGCTTCTGCCTTGCAGCACTGGGGGTCACCGGGTCCAAATACCAGCCAGGTTACTATCTGCAAGGAGTTTGCATGTTCCCGATGTGCTTGCATGGGTTTCCTCCGGGTACTCCAGTTTCCTCCCACACTCCAAACACATGCTGGTAGGTTAATTGGCTCCTCTCCAAGTTGGCACTCTATGTATGCATGTGAGATGGGGACCTTAGATTGTAAGCTCCTTGAGGGTAGGGACTGATGTGGATGTGCAACTATGTAAAGTGCTGTGTAAATTGTCAGCGCTATGTAAATACCTGTAATAAATACATGCTTTGGGTCCTTGTGCTGAAAGGTGACAATTCTCTTTGTTTTTAGCAGAGGCCTGAAGGTTTTGTGCCAAAATTGACTGATATTTGGAACAGTTCATAATTCCCTCCACCTTGCCTAAGGTGAAGAAAAAACAGCCCCAAAGCATAATGCCACCACCACCATATTTCACTGTGGGTATGGTGTTTCTTTGGTGATGGGCAGTGTTTTTGCACCAAACATAATTTTTTTAATTATGGCCAAAATTTAAATCTTGGTCTTAGACCAAGATCAGACCATAACACATGCTTTTGTCAGACTCTATGTAGCTTTTGGCAAAATTAAAGGAGGCCATACACTGTGCGAATTCTGGCTGGTTCTTAAGGAACCAGATGAAATTCGCAGTGGGTGCCGCTGTCGGAAGCCTTTGATGGCATCCCTCGATCAGCTGATCAAAGGAGCCAGTCGGAAAATCTTTGTACAGAGCTGGCAGCCAATGAGCTGCCGACTCTGTTAGAGTATTCTGACAGGGCCGGCAGCCACTGTCAGAATACAAAAGAAATAGTGGGGATACATCGATAAATGTGCTCATAACGTTGATGGAGGAATCTGCTCTATTTTTTTCGTTCAGCCCATGGGTTGTACAAAAAAAAAAAAGCAGCGTAGGGTCAGCTTTAGTTGGGCTTGGATGTTTTTCTTATATCCAAGAAAAAGCTTCCGTCCTGCCACCTTACTCCACAGTCCAGACATATGAAGAATACGTGAGATTGTTGTCACATGTAGTACACAACCACTTCTTGCCGAAATTTCTGCAGCTCCTTGAATGTTGATGTAGGCCTCTTGGACCAGTTTAATTCTTGTTTTTTCATCATCATTTTTCAGCAATTTTGGAGCAACGTCCAGTTCTTGGTAATGTCAGCGTTGTGCCATATTTTCTCCACCTTTTGATGACCATCTTCGCTGTGTTCCATGGTTTATCTAATGCCTTGGAATTTTTTTGCACCCTTCTCCTGACTGATACCTTCCAACAATGAGATCCCTTTGATGCTTTGTAAGCTCTTTGTAGACCATTGCTTTTGTTGTAAGAGGCAACTGAGTAAATGTCAGAAAAATCCTACTAAAACAATAACTTTATTTGGGCTTAAAGTGTAATTCCACCTTTGTATCAAAGTGACACAAAAGGTATTTTACCAATAGAATATGTCTAAATATAATGAGGGGGGTTTATCAAACCTGGAGCAGTCAGAATCTGGAGCAGTAGCCTATAGCAACCAGTTTCTCTCTTCTGTTTGTTCAGTTAAGCTTTGAAAATTAACCACTTATAGACCAGGGTGTTAAACCCCCTTCTTGGCCAGGCCATTTTTCAGTGTTCAGTGCTGTGGTACATTGACTGACGTTTATTCAGTCATGCAACGCTGTACTGAAACAAATGTTATAAAAAATTTTGGAGACAGAGCTTTCTTTTGGTGGTATTTAATCACCGCTGGGGTTTGTATTTTTTACTATATATCAAAAAAGTTATTATCACCCCAATTTTTTGATAAAATATAAAAGACGGGGTCATGTAGGGTAAATAGACACCAAACATGTCAAGCTTGAAAATTGCGCGTGCCCGCGAAATCGCAGAAAATGGCCACACCCAAATTTGGCCATAGGTGACACTTTAAAAGTTTTTACCGCTCATCAGTTTCATGTTATCAGTAATTAATGGCCCTAAAATTATTGCTCTCATTCCGACGTTCGCAGCGATATGCAACATGTGCGGCATAATGGGTGCAATAGTCATCTTCGCACATAGGCACACCCAACGCATGTTTGCGTGTGTATGTGGGGGGGGGGACTTTAAAAACATTTTTGTGTTATATTACTTTTTTTTTTTATTTGTTTTTTATTTTATTTTTTTAATGCTTTAATGCTTTTTTTTTTACACTTAACTTTATTGGGGACTAAGAAATCCACTATGTGATAGCCAATTCACATAACAGGCCCTCTTTATGGAGACATCAGGGATCTCTAAGACCCCTAATGTCACCTAGGGACCGCCAGAGAAGCCGATGAAGCAGAGATCTGCTTCACCAGCTTCTCACGGGTGTTCTGTACCGGAGAGTGACACTGAATGCAGGAAGTGATGTAATATACATCACTTCCTGCATTCGGGGACAGGAGAAGAGATCAAAAGGGAGATTGTGTACTGATCTCCCTTTGATCTCCACTGCGAGCATTGCCGTGCCGGTCCAAGCTGCACCGGGCACAGCGGATCTCGGGACTGGCAGCGGAGGTACGGAGGGGGTGTCAGTGCATATTACTCTAGAGATGCCCGATCGCTTGAATGTAAACAGTAGGGATGCACAGATACTTTTCGAGTACCAGTGCCGATACTTGGCATTTTCATGAGAACTACCAGGGTTGCAGCTGGGACCTGGCTTTGGCACTCCACCACTGTCCTGAAATCATTAGTCTGCATTGTTTTAGAAAAACTGTCACATGACAAACAAAAATGTATTAGTACTCGTACTTGAAAGTACTCAGCAAGTACCAGTAGTCGTACTCGCAAAACTGGTATCTGTGCATCCCTTTATTTATATTTATAAAAACAAAATCATACATTAATACAGAGATGTACAAATCCCAGGAGCTCAGTGTGCTCCTTACAAATGACAGCTGCCTCCTAATTTTTGAATTTTTCTCTAGTCTAGTCTTGGAGCTCAAAAGTATCGATACATGTACCCGTACTTGTACCGAGTACTGTACTTGGTATCTGTGCAACCCTTGTAAACAGCCATCTTATAAACAGCCATCTTATCTCTGACAATCGCACCCCCTTCACAAGCGGGGTTTTTTTTTTTGTAAATGGAGCTGGAGAGGAAAGACCCACCTCTCGATCAGACAGCCAGATCATAGGAGGGATCAATTAGCTGCAGCCCCAGTCAAGGTTCTGCAGTGTTTTATGGGAGTGCTCTACTTTAACATTGCCAGTCTCCTCCTGCTGCCTACAAATGCCTAGGAATCCCAAAATTGCCTGTTCAAGTGCAGCTGCTGCTACCCTTTCAATTTAATAACCAGGAGACAGCAGCCGCATATAAAAGCTGCAATTCACATGTAATTGTATGTGACACAATTACATGCGGTTTGGACTACATCACTGTTGGTGGACATATACAGTATGTCCTGCGTTCACATACGTAAGCAGCAATCCACATGTAATTGGATGTGGCAGGATTACATGCAGATGGACTAGATCACTGTTGGTGGATGTTTGTATCCTGCAATCGCATAAGCTGCAATCAAGTGGCCATTTTAAATCAAGGAACATGGAGCAGCAGAGATGAAGCCAGGGCCGGCCTTAGGGGTGTGCGAGCAGTGCGGGCACAGGGCGCCTAAAGGCCTAAGGCCGGCCCTGGATGAAGCCACTTATACAGGTTAGTGCTGCAATCACATTTGAAAAATCATGGATGTGTGCAATGTACATGTGTGCATTGCAAACACGTTTTTGTTTAGAACTCAAAAAACAAGGTGGAATTACCTTTTAATCAGAGTCAGTTTAATTGACGGCAGGTGTGTAACTGGCTACTATTTAACATTCATTTGTGTGTGGTTATTTCTTAAAGGAGAACTATGAGGTGAGTGCTTTTAACTCATCCTCATAGTTCTAGCCAACCTGTGACAATGAAACTGTCACAGGTCGGCTAAGTAGATCGGGAAGTGAGCGAACACATACCCACGTTCGCACACTTCTCGATCCTGCCACGGCAGAGAGCCGTGACAGGGAGGGGCTGGATTCCCCCCTCCCCGCTCCGATCCTCCAGCGCTTACTGGCAGAACGGACGGGGGAGGGTACAGCTGGGTCTGCCTCTAGATAGGCAGAGCCAGCTGTCACTCATGCAGCTGGGTGGATCCAGACATAATTGTCGGGATCCGTTTCAGCTGCGGAGTCTCAGTATGGTATACTGAGCTTAGGGTGATGGGAGGACGCTAGTTTGTGTCCTCCCGTTACCCTTAGGAGAACTATGGGGAAAAGCCATAACTCCATAGTTCTCCTTCAACACAGCCACATCCCTAATAAGAGGGTGTGTGAACTTACAGTCAAATTATTTTTTTTTAATTTCCCTTCCCCCACTAAACAACTTGTTTGTTAATTGAATTGTACAGATTATATGTCCCATTAAAGGAGGAGAAAGAAATCTGAATTTAGTTTGGTCAGCTTTTTTTTATACATCCCAAAAATATGGCATTTTTACAGGGGTAAATAGTCTCAGAGTTAATGTTTTATTGTTTTTACTGAGCAGTCATATTCCTTTATAAAAAGGAGCAAATGTAAGACTACCCCGCCTACTGTAATAAAATGCCCTTAATGTTCTAGTCTCATGTCTTGCTTCAAGATGACTACCAAACACCCATAACATATATCTAGTTGATAATTCCTTATTCCAAAGATTGCTGTGAATGGTGGCCAGGTGTGTAGACCATGAGAATCGTACCCCTCAAACGACCATAAAGAGAAGAAACCTTCTGGAATTAAATGTCCAGAGATTAAACAGACAGTAAGGCTTCAAGGTCGACACTCATGGAATAATAAGAGAAAAAATCCATAAAATCTTATACATTTATTATATTAATGTTAAAAAGAACATACATAACGCACAAATAAAAAAAAAATTAAATTAGGAGTGCAGAAGTGGATAAGAACCCAAACAGGACCGCAAGATATATAGAATAATTGTCCATAATGCTAATGAACTTTGATTAAGATTGTTGTCACCTTTTTTATGGTAGATTACCAAAATAGCGGTAGACATGATATAGTTCATATGGGTCCTGATTCTCCACGCATTTCACACTTGGGCTTCGTCAGGAGAAGGGATCAGTAATACAATTCTGCTTTTTGGTTTCAAATTTGTGGATGCTGGCCGGTAACGGCAAAGGTACCCTGATTACCCTAGATGGGGACCTAGAGGGGGTAAAAATAAGACTTTGCCAGGGAGACGGATCTTAAACCGATGTGTCCCAGACACAGGCAGGTCCTGGCACCATTCTATTTTTACCCCCTCGTGGTCTCCACCCAGGGGCATTGGGGTACCTTTGCCCTGAGAGGGGACTGCAAGGGGGTAAAAATAGGACAGTGCCAGGCCCTACTGGTGCCTGTACCTGGGGCACATCAGTTCAAAATCACACCCTCTGATCTTTGCCCCTTCGTGGTCCCCACCCAGGGGGATTAGGGTACCTTTGCCATTACCGGTCCGCATTTGCAGGCTTGAAACCAACAAGCAGAATTGTATTACTGAACCCTTCTCCCGAGGAAGCCCAAGTGTGAAACATGTTGAGAATCAGCATCCATATGAACTATATCATTACTATCACTTTTGTGTACATCGACAATTGAAAAAAGTGACAAAAGTGATCAAAGTTCATTAACATTATGGACAAGTATTAGATATACAACCCCAATTCCCAAAAAGTTAACACTATAAAATCTTAATAAAAAACAGAATGCAATGATTTGCAAATCTCATAAACCTATATTTTAGAATATAATAGAAAACACATCTGTTAAAACCATAATAATCATACAGGGAAATATGTATGTACGTAAACCTAAATGATGATTGATTTTCTATATTTTAATCTATCCAAGTTTGGAAATGCTGTTTAACCGTACTACTGATTTTGAGTTGCAAATGGTAATCAATCAGTAAGCCTATCAGGCAGACCCTAAGTATAGTTATAACAGCTGGTAGGAGTGTTCACAGACTTGGCCTTTAAAATGGGATTGAAGGATGAAGGAATATACATGACGGTCCTCCTTCATGCTAGGGTTTACAAACACTCAGCCAATTCACATATGACGCAGAGGAGTTTCTTCCATTGTGAATGGGCTGAATGTTTGTAAACACTACTAGTATTGCAATGGGTCTGGCTTGTTCACAGCGAGTACTACCCTATACCTAATGACAGCTCTGATCATAGCCATTCATTGGTGCATGGGCCACCCAAGTGTATTTTCTGTTTTTTGTTTTAACAATAAGGCAGTACAGAGGTGGTTAACTATGTATTCTAAAACACACAAATGACCTGTAGGAATAGATCCATAGTACGATGCATTCGCTAGATCTTGTTTTGCATACAAAATACCTTAGTTATTGTGCCCACAGCTTTGGTTCGGCCCTCTCTGAATACCAGCCGCTGGTCTATGTGTAAGTACTCAGGTGTTTTGATGAATCTGAAGTGAACTGTAGCTTTATCTCCAGTGCGCAAACAGTCACGGCTCATGCTCAGGATGGTGGCTGTTTGACGGATACTGCCACAATGCACTGGAACAAAGACATTTTCCATCATTTACTTTAGGTAAATAAAAAAAACACAAAAACAACAACTACCCCTCTAAACATGCAGTTGTACCCCACATGGAAGAGAAATATATTGCAAATGTATTTAGCAAATACATTTATATATGTGACATATTTTTACAATATATTGTCCGACACTAATATATTTTAACATGTATTACAAAAATTTAAATAAAAACATATTTTGCAAAGGCATATATTTGAAAATATATTTATTTTCAAGATATTTTTAACATGTAAGAAAAATAAATTTCAGCATATATTTTTGAATCTATTTGGAAATGCATTCCAAAAATGTAATTAAAAGCATAGTATTTTAAAAAAGACATGTATTTGAAAATAGATTTTAATGCATAGTTTCTAGATATTTTAAACATTTAAAAATGCATTTTAACATATAATTTTAAATATACTTGTAAATGTATTCCAAAAATGTAATTTAAATATATTTTCCAAAGACATATATTTGAAAATAGATTTTTAAAATCTATTTTCCCGATATTTTGTAACACATAAATTTGCCAGATTATTGTGCTCCTGCCTTGATCTTGCTTCCTGCTCCCTCTGTGCTACAGTCTACTCATACTGCTTCCCGTGTACCGACCCTTGGCTGCCGATTCATCGACTACTCTCTCCGTCTCCTGCTACATACCTGATACCTTTGGCTCCTGACCATGGCTTGTTCACTGACTACACTTCTGCCTGCTCCTCCACCACTACCCTCTGCTTGTGTACCAAACCCGGCCTGTTATACTACGAATTGCCTGCTGCTTCAGCTGCTGGACTCTGAGCCTGATCCCAGATCGTGACACGCACCTTCCAAAAAGTTCAACTTTTGTCTTGTCAGTCCACAGAGTATTTTTCCCAAAAGTCTAGGGTATCATCAAGATGTTTTCTGGCATAACGGAGACAAGCTTTTATGTCCTTTTTGCTCAGCAGCAGGTTTTTGTCTTGAAACTCTGCCATGCAGGCCATTTTTGCCCAGTCTCTTTCTTATGGTGGAGTCATGAACACTGACCTGAACCGAGGCAAGTGAGGCCTGCAGTTCTTTGGATGTTGTTGAGGGGTCTTTTGTGACCTCTTGGATGAGTGGTTGCTGCGTTCTTGGGGTAATTTTGGTTGGCCGCCCACTCCTGGGAAGGTTCACCACTGTTCCATGTTTTTGCCATTTGTGGTTAATGGCTCTCACTGTGGTTCGCTTGAGTCCCAAAGCTTTAGAAATGGCTTTATAACCTTTTCCAGGCTGATAGATCTCAATTACTTCTTTATCATTTGTTCCTGGATTTCTTTGGATCTCGGCATGATGTGTAGCTTTTGAGGATCTTTTGGTCTACTTCACATTGTCAGTCAAGTCTTATTTAAGTGATTTATTGATTGCGAACAGGTGTGGCAGTAATCAGGCCTGGGTGTGGTTAGAGAAATTGAACTCAGGTGTGAGAAACCAGAGTTAAGTTATGTTTTAACAGAGGGGGGGGGAGTTTAAACTTTCTTGATTTCATGTTTATAATATGCATTCCTCTTTTTGTTATATTGCTGTTCTAGCACGGAAGTTCTTTGTTCAAGGGGTTTATTAATGGACTTTCTGTTGTATGAAATTGATTCCTGGGAGGATTTTTTAGAACTAATGAGTTGATTAATCTAATGATTGTGTAATTTTGCAATTGATGGGGGTATATTTTAATCATGGTGTAGTAGCAAGAGAAGATCTGCTTACCTTCAGAAGAAGTCAGGTAATGAAACGGGTCAAGGGGCAGATCTTTTCAGTGTATAGGAAGCACAGGATGTAACACGAGCTGCTTCGTGAGAAAGCTATCATCCTTCTTTGTTTTGCCGGCCGAAGTTTGTAATTTTAAATGTAAGTTGCTATTTGTAATAAAATATATTGTTGATTGTATTGCACTATGAGGGTTGTTTTTTCTTTTCCAAAAGCCCTCTAAAAACACTGATCGGGATCGCGGGAAAAACATCAGCGGCGTACGGAGGAGAGAAGCTGCCGCCTGATCCTAATGTACAGGTGAAACTCGAATAATTAGAATATCGTGCAAAGTTCATTTATTTCCCTAATGCAACTTGAAAGGTGAAACTAATATATGAGATAGACTCATTACATGCAAAGCAAGATAATTCAAGCCGTGATTTGTCATAATTGTGATGATTATGGCTTACAGCTCATGAAAACCCCAAGAACCCCAAATCCACAACCTCAAAAAAGTAGATTACTACATGCAATCAATAAAACAAGGATTGTACATAGAACAATATCGGACCTCTGAAAAGTACAAGCATGCATATGTACTCAGTACTTGGTTTGGGCCCCTTTTGCAGAACTTACTGCAATTACTTTTGCACGATATTCTAATTATTCGAGTTTCACCTGTAGAGCCGGGACCTTGGCGATACTGCAGGGGAGAACGCCTGTCAGTATCCGTTCTATTGCCTGGGGAGCTTTGGAGACACTGAACGGGGTGATCGGAGGTTTAGACTCTCTCTGAGTGATCAAATATACTCACTGTTTCTGGTGAGTATTGACTACCTGGGGGGACTGCTGATTGGAAGACTTGGTTTAAGAAGCATCTTTCCTTTCTCTTCACGATTTGGATTTTCTTTTTGATTTTGAATCACCCAGCACTTAGTTCATCTCACGGTTTATTGGCACATCTTCATTGGGATTTTGAAAGAAATACTATTGTGTCTCATGTTGATACATTTGGTTACTTTGTGTTTAATAGTATATGTCACATATTGATTTTTTGTATAACATTTTTCTTCACCATTTGAACCCTTGTCACATTTTTCATTGGGATTTTTCATGTTTCACATTGGTTTGATTTGTTACACTGTATTTAATAGTATATTTTTCATTCACTCAAGAATGTCACAAAATATATCAACGATTAAGATAATTAATAATTAACTAATTTTTCACGTCCTATTATCCACTTTATATTAGATATGAAGATTTGTTAATAATCTCATCTACAACACTGTTCATCTAGTTTTAGTTTATATAGTCACCTTTAGCGCTGTGTTAACACTTTTAAATTTACAAAACTCTTCTTTCACATAGCAGCTTCAGGGTCAATAGTTTTTAGTTGTTTTTAGTTTTTAGAGCGCAGATTTTTTTAAATACAATAATATATACATTTTAGGAAGGGGGGCATGAGTGGGACACGTGAGATTAATAACGTGCTGGATTAGTGTGATCCTAGTTAATTTTATTACTTCATTGCTGTGCTGTATGTGTATCTGTATGTGCGTTATAATTAATAGATTAAAAAAAATTCGATTAATCGAACACGAAAATTTTAATCATTACCAGCCCTAATATATATAATCTATAGATAGATCTATATCTATTACAGATATAGATCAATATCTATAGATATATATATATACACACTGAGTGGCCAGATTATTATGACCACCCCATCAGTACTTCGTTGGGCCACCTTTTGCCTTCAATACTGCGGCGATTCTTCTTGGCATTGACTCCACGAGATGTTGAAAGGTGATGCGAGGAATCTGACACCATACCTAATGAATAGCACTGTCCAGTTCTGTGAGATTTGATGGTTGTGGAACCAGCTGCCTGATGGCTCTTTCAACTTCGTCCCACAAATGCTCAATTGGATTGAGATCTGGTGATTGTGGGGGCCACCTAAGCAAGGTAAATTCTCCCTCATGTTCTTGAAACCACTCCTGCACAATACGAGCACCATGGCATGGCGCATTGTCTTGTTGGAAGAAGCCATCAATCCAGTGAATTCCAAGAGTATCCAGCTTTATTTTCTTAGGTATGTGTCCGATCGGTGCTCATCTGGCAATGTGCTGAACAAAACGAAAAATCCCCTCAAGGGTATACACTCACCGGACTTAGGAGTATACACTTGAGAGGATTTTTCGTGCCAATCTACTTGTCCCAATACAAAAAAACTAGGGATGCACCGATATAGGTTTTTGTGTATCGAGTACTGATAATTTGCTTTCGTTACGAGTACTGATATTTTGCTTTCGGTACTCACGATACAGAGTATCGGTGCTTCCATAGGCATGGAGCAGGCTTTCCGGGCAATCAGGAAGCTGGGCAGTGAGTAATTACATGCTACCCAGCTTCCTGATTGCCAGGGAAGCCGACTCCATGTTGTTTGGCCGACTTGATTGTGATTGGCCGGGAACACGGTTTCCCAGCCAATCAGGAAACCGGGCGTCGACTAATGACCTGATTGGCCGGGAAGCCGGCTCGATGTTCAGGAAGCAGGGCAGCGACTAATGACCCGCCTCCCTGATTGGCCAGGAAGCCGGCTCAGCAAGGAGCTGGCTTCCCGGCCAATCAGGAAATCGGGAGGCGGGTCATTAGTCGCTGCCCTGCTTCCTGATTGCATGGGAAGCTGGCTCCATGTTCCCCTACGGCATTGCCGGTCACAGGAAATCTGCCGCTGACCGGAAGTTCCAGTATTGGGGAAGGTATAGGAGCATTTGGGCGATTACAAGTACTCGCCCAAATACTCTGTATTGGTGCATCCCTAATTAAAACTGTATTTGACTGTGCTAAATAGTGCTTCTCATTGGTCAGCGTGGTCACCTGACCACGCTGACCAATGAGTGCTTGCAATTTGCGAGTGAAATTCAAAATGCATAGGGCTGGACTGCGGTACGGGGTACAAATAGTACACCTGTACTGGTGAAGGGTAAGGACTGTTCGCCGAAAGGTAAGTATAGCCGGGGAATGGGTTTGGGAGAGATCGGGCCAGATTTGATCGGATAATTCCATTTTCCCATATTACCTGGGAAAGTGAACTTACCCTTTAATGCAAATTGTGCGTGTAGGAGAGTTCTGCTGCCTGGCTACCACAATATGGCACACAGTGGAATGGCAGCAGTACTCAACACACACAATGTCCTATGCATGCGTTTATTTGCATGCAGATGGCGGGGTTGGTTTTACATTTTTTTTTACTTTTTAA